GTTTAATGGATTAAAAAAACATAGTTTCAAACTTTATTAACATTTCAGAGCCTGTGGGACGTTTAAACAGTAAATAACCTAAAATAACCATCTTCCAACCCGCTCTGCCACCATAAATAAGTTCTTCTCTCCATCCTCATTTCTTCCTGCTCTGCCCCGGGGCTCTGCCCTGCACAGGTGCTGAAAACCGTGGCTAACAGTCCACCTATATCCCCCCATCCCCATGTGTGTGATTAATATGGATTATTTTATTTTATTTTTTGCAAAAATTATGGATTTCTGAGGCTCATTATACAGGTAAACGATCAAAGGGGTTGACATGTATGTGGTGAATTTTAACTTAGAGAATGAGTGCTCAGAGGTTGAAAAGATGAAGAGTCAAAAATAAAAAGAGAGCAGTGCAAATCTCACTGAAGTTACTGCTYGATGGAAGCTTTTTTACCAGATCRGCAAAACATGTTTGTTTGTTATCTGGTCCCAGYAGAGGTTCTAAATCAAAGCAGACCGYGCTCCTCTGGATGCATTTGGGCCCCCTTTCTCCACCTRGCCTCAGAGYYTRGMCTCCCRACTGCCTCCGAACCAGTTCGGTCTTGTCCCGTGCTCTGAGGAGCTCGGAGAAGAATGTGCAGGAAATGAGATCGCACAATAAATCCAGTGATAATTGTAGAAGTCTGAGCAAAACAAGTCATTCTGTAGAAGTRGGGTTGAAACTGCATCTTGACTTTCTGAAACTTCTGATTTCAGAARAAAATCCACGTGTATCATGTGTGTATGAATATGTTGTGAGCTGCATGTTTCCATCTGCTTCTTAATCATAATGATGCATTTTGACAGCATTTATGTATAAATATACCCATATAATTATTAATATAACAAAAATTTTGACAAAATTGCTCTTTTTTTGGAGATTTATTTTGTAAAAACGGAATTTGTGCTCGTTCTTCCTGTTGGTGCGGTGTGATTTTTGTAAATTGACTCCGGAGCAGCTCCGGCATCCAGCAAAAGATGAATCTAATTTTGGTGGATCTTGGTCCACTTGCTGCTCTGCACCATCATGAGGAGCCAGTGTAAATGCTGTCAGCGATTATAATGGTTGAATATTTACTGCAGAGGTTGCACCAGAGCAGAACAGCATGATGTAAATTGAGGGTTAGGGTTAAGTTATATCTCCCTCTGGGCCCGACAAGGTCCAGACTCACACTCTGGGCTCCAACCTGGGTACCTAATGGGCCCGAGCCGGGGGCGTGCCGCCCTCCCAGCCCCACCCCCCACAGAAGCTCTGCCCCTGGCTGTTACCTATATTACATCCCTTTCTAGTTAATGCTATGGATAAACCCAATCATCTTTAGTTTCTGTGCACAGCTTGTGCTCGCTTGCTTTCCATGTATTGAAAATAAACCTTCATTGCCACAGTACAAGGAGCAAAGTCAGAGAGGAGACATTAGACCAGATACAGCTGCAGGGAACATGATGCAGGCTCTTATCAGGTAAGGACTGATAACTATTATTGCAAGGAAGGATCAGTAGTGTTTTCACAGATATTTTAGAATTATTCTTATTCACACTCCAAAACATATACCTATATTTTTA